AGGAAAATCCATTTTCAGGTTCTTTACAGTACATAAATCGGATTTCTTTTAAAGACAAGTGATAAGTGATGTCCTTCCAGAAGTTCGTCTCTGCAAGGAAGGTCACAGGGATTCTCTCGGAGAACTGCAGCAACTGTAAGCTGTTCGTGTTTTTGACCTTGTTCTGACAGTCATCAGCTACAATTCACGCCCAGATGGCCTCATAGCTCAAACTGAAGCTACACGACTAATGTACTAACATTTACATTCACACTTCTGAGAAGATTATTAAGCATTTTTTTCTACAGTTTTAATGTTTTATTTGTCATATATAATGTATGCAAACAAAATGCCTCTGTCCCAGTTAGTACGGTGACTCACAGCGTGGCAGGTGAATATTTACAGAGCAACTAAGTGACTCACATCAGTACTGCCAAACTGCATGTTAATTTGGAACGCATCCACAGAACCTGGAGCTTCTCACGTTGAGCTCAGCCAATTTTAATGACCTGCTTTAAAAGATATGGGGTCTCCATTCACCCATGCTAATGCAAGTGCAGTTTGCTGCCAGTGATAACACCTAGCATTCGTCATGGCTCTTCCTGCAAGTGGGGCTAGCTTTGAAGTGTAAGCAGTTATTAACAAAGATGCTCGTGACAACAGCTCATTTAGTAGTGCGGTTTCATTGTAGTACGACTGCGTGCCTGAGCCCCCAGAGAGGTTCTTTATGCTGGTTTAACATGAGTTTTTTTTAAAATAGGGAAATGAATTGAAGAGTTTAATGACTGCTTTGTGTACACAGCATCAACTCAAGCTCAGACTGAAAGCAGGGGTCAGAGATTTTCCATCGTTAGGATTAAAAGTTCAGCTTATCTGTCAGCGTGCATCACAAAACCATATTAGAACTAAATTAATGAGGAAATAGATGGCCCTTTTGATGGTGCAGCTGCTGATACTTTGATATTACGGAGAAACGGGGGTGATCAGAACATGACTGGGGTGGGATTTTCTTTTACCACCTCATGGGCATCGCACAAAGACCTCGCCTCACTGATGACATCGATGCTCTGCAGGAAACTAAAAGGTTCGGTTGGTTTTAATCACTTGCTTCCTATCTATGCCACCTTGTTTTCACTTAGGATTATTTTATGAAGCTCGTAAATTTTGTTCAAGTCTGGCAGGATTATGTTTCCTGTCTGATGTGACAGCTCGAACAATGGAAGGGATGTCTGCACACGTCACTGCAGGAATTTTCCATTTAAGCTTAGAAATGTGTTTTTAATATATTTTTATGTTGTTAATTATGCATATTTTAAATGATGCTACTGTTGCAGAATAGCATTTCTAGTGTTTTTTAGAGCTTCTTCTATCTTAAAAAGGCATGGTGGCGCAGTGGTTAGCACTGTTGCCTCGCAGCACGAAGGTCGCAGGGTCAAAACTTGCCTTTCTGCGTGGAGTTGCGTGTTCTCCCCATGCATGCGTGGGTTTCCTCCGGGTACTCCAGTTTCCCCCACAGATCACAACATGCCCTACAGGTTATAAAAAAAAAACTTTTACGTTGCTTTGGATAAAAGCGTCTGCGAAATGAATAAACATAAACATAAACATAAAAAGGCTTTAGCTTCATGCAATGTTCCTCCAGGTGTCTCCCTACATCATTAGGATCCTGCACAGCTGTGGGTTGCATATCCAGAGCACGGATTCTTTTTGACATCATGACTCAAGGTGTGAAAAAGGTTGGAGGTCAGATTAGAATTATTTTTGGGTGACATGCATGCCACCACCTTTGTTTAGAGTTACAAGAAAGCTTCCTCCATCCCTTTCTCAGCTCCTCTGTCATCTCTTTTCCTGATGTTAGCGTCCACAAAAGGTGCGCCTGTGGGTTTCAGTGTTTCACGGCACGGTGACTCACAGGACGGTGTCACGGCTGGCAGCAGCTGCAGAAACAAACTGAACTCAACTGTCAGCCACAGCCAAATGAACAGGGAATCAAGTGACTACAAAAGAGGAGGGCTTATCACTTTGTGTCACCTGAACGGGGCTCGGTATGCAATTTCTGAGCCAAGCTTTGATCAACTCGTCTTCAGGTCTGCACGACGGTGCATGAGAATATGTATTCAGGAGCTGTCATTTTGTAGAGTGCAGTAAGTAGTTCATACAAAACCCTGGAGCTGAGCGAAGCCTCTCAGCCTGACTCACAGGATTGTTTTGCCCTTTTTTATTTTACACTAAGGTGTGTTACACTCAAACACTGCCAATGTGTAATATTGTCAACTTCTGTTCACTTTTATTTAAACATGATGTAATTGCTGCCACCACTTTATGCTTTTATAATGTATTGCATCCAGTTAATGTGAAAATTCAGTAAGTACAACACTGCATTGCAGTACGTTGTACATTACACCTGGTTAGAAGATCCCAAGCTGAATGAAAGTATCTCTGCAAGTTCCATGTGCTTAATACCACCTTAAACCTCTCAGAAATCTGATTAGACTTCTGGTTGAGCAGATTTATGTGGGATTAGGCTGAACTTCTTTTTGCCTGCTTTCAGATTTAGCTTGCTCCACATCAAAGGAGCATGAACAAAAGCATGGGTCATCTCAACCCTAATAAAATACGCCTGATGTGATTGCAAAAGCTCTCAAAAGTTCATACACAGAGTACTGAAAGCATGGATTAGTCTATGGAAAATGCAGAGCATTTCCTAAAGGTGCTCAAAGAAATACCGACCCTAAGTTCTCTGTTTTGCTCTCAAGGATCTATTAATTATTCAAAGTGAAGCTTTCTGGAGCTTCTTTGAATGATTGCTTTTTGAAACTTTGAGTGTATTTTCATTCAAGTTCAGTCTATCCCACTGTGCAAAGACCTACTTTGGACATCCTATAGATGTGGTCTGGACCAACAGACTCAATATGGACATGATCTGCACGTCCATGCAACGTTGACTGTTTGCAGGGTTATGTCCGACCATGACTGTGCTCAAAAATAGGAAAGTTGACATGTGGAGGACTACAGGAGACTCTTTAGGTCAGATCCCGTGAGGTTAGGGGTACTTTTACATGTAAATGGGTTGAAAAAAGAAGCAAACATTAATTCAAAAATGTAGAGGTGCTGAGCTAAGACTGACTGGACTGAAAATAGAAAAAGTTTTCAAGAACTTCAGAAAACCTTATGAAAGATTGCTCAAACCCACTCTGAAAGATTACAAGTAACTGAGTCCTTGAATAAAGACCTTTGCAGACTTTGAAGCATCAAGTAAGAAAGATTGACAGAATATTGCAGCAAGCCTACAATCACCACTCAGGAAGGTGCAGTGGCAAAAGTTTATTTGCACAAATCCATCACCTGGTGCATTTCACCTCTTTCTTTCCAGTCAATGGAAGGAAATTTCCAACGTTTCTCCGACCATTTGACGGAGTAAAAAGAGACCAGATCGTTTTGTCAGTCAAATTCAACCTCAATCACCTCTGCAGAGGGAAATAAGCGCACACGGCTGAGACATTTAGTCAGTATAAAACGTGAAGTCGGTGATGATTGCTGTTATCAGTTGAAATGAAACAATGTTATTCTCATGACGATTTTCGGTAGAACTTGTTCATCGCTGTGTTGTAGCTCACCTTTTTATTAATTTTCTTTCTAGTATGAATTTACTTTTTCTTTTCTTGAATCTCCACAGCTCATCTTTGATGCTTAGAGAAACAGATTCTTCTAGATGCAGAACCCCAGATGGACGCCATGGTAATGAGTAGCTTATTAGTGTTTTGTACCAGATGCTTCAGGTAAAAATCCCAAAAACACTGCCTGGTACATTAACTGAACCGGTATTTTCTTGTATAGAAAATGGAATAAAACAGAATATTTTCTCACCATCACTGAGTTTGGAGAGATGGGTGCTGTGAGAGAATTAATTAACATTTTGGTGTTCTATTTTTAGCCGTGCAATTAGAGCGATTCTTTACCACATGGTCAAGTCGATTCAGACGCTGGACAGATCCATGCTTATATACAACATGACCAAATCAGAATGATGATATTTTAAAGTGGGCTGCGTGCTGCAGACCTTTTGCTGGTGAAAAAGTCATGCATATGATTTGAAAAGTAAACAGCTGCAATATTATGAGATACATTTCCAGTTCCAGATGTAAGTTTTAGATGGAAATCTTCAGTTCCATACTTGGGTTAGGTTTTAAACCATAAATATCTTCATGTCTTTTATCCTCTAACAATATGGAGGCTATAGAGGAGCTGGGGTTGTCTGTGCCACAGAATTCAGAATTAAAGTTCAAACATAAAAAAAACATACTTCTGATTTGCTGTGAAGCATTTTTTTGACTCGCTCACTAATGCACTCTAACTGTGAAAGGCTTCTATTTTATACGAGACACACTCAACTTGGCTAAAATTACACACACGGATCACAAGCAGCAGCTGATTGTTAGCAAGGAGAGACATTGAGTCTCAGTTTTCAGGGAAACACGTTGGGTTGGTAAACATGGTAATATGATTATTCTCACATGCATCAGAGGCTAAAAATGCTCATTTTAAAAATTGTCAGTCATGTTTTAACTCATGAGCTCCAGGGGTTCAGGTGTTAACTTGCAAACGCATGAATTTAGGTAAGTTTTCTTCTTTTTAAACATAAAATAAAACTCTCCAAATCTTAAAAATGTATGTTCTGTATTGATAATATATTTCTGGAGGACGCTGGGATGATCTCAAAGTTTCCTTAGATGCCTTCCAAGTCCAGTCAGTTAAAATGTCACTTCTGCTTCTCTTTAACTTTTTTCCAAACTCCTTTTAAGAATTTCTATTATATAAATTTCAGACAAGAGTCCCCTTTTCTTTCTAGGAAGTTTCAGATTTTATGGATAAATAAACAAATGAAAGAGTCACGTGATGCTGATGTTCAGTGACATTCGCTACCAGGCAGGCCTATCTACTTTTTGCTTGTACTGCATGTCTCACACTTTTCACTGCGTCTTCCACTCCCAAACATAAGCTGAATGGAGCTGACAGTTGCGCGGCAAGTGTGAAATGTCTGCCGTCCCTGATGCGCTCAACTCGGAGTCGGCTGTCCTTCACGCAGACGGATGAGGGTAGCGGCGGCTGTGATTGGCTGAGCTGGGATGCGCTCCCAGACGGCGCGCCGCGCCAGCTCCCTCCGCTTATCATCGCCACTCCTCAGATCCACATGCCGCGCGATCACCACCGGGCTCAGAGCGCTCGTCTCCTCCTCAACTTCAGATCAAGCCCCTGTGACTGAATAGCATCGTTTTTATTCTATTTATTTTTAACAATGGATGCGACCATTTATGAGATCATAGTGGGAGAACTGGGAGACCTGAACTGTAGTCTGATAGAGCAGTTTAATGACTCTTTCTGGGAAAACGCTTCGCTGTCCTTGCTGAGCTCTGATGGTAAGATGGACTAGCTTTTTTATGTTTCATTTCCTCTTCGGAATATCAGAGATGCTTTATGGAATAACTTTGCTTTTTTATTCTCCATCTTTAAGGTTTATATTGTAATGCCACCACCGATGAGATTGGAACCTGCTGGCCACGGAGCAGCACCGGCAGGATTGTAGAGAGACCCTGCCCTGCTTATATCAACGGAGTCAAGTACAACACAACCAGTAAGATGCTACAATCCCTGCAAAAAGTTCATAATACACGTTTTTTCATAGCGAATTTGATTAAAAGTCTAATTTTGGTCATTAAAAATACATAAAATAGCCTGATATCCAGCTTTTCAGCAAAAATCTGGTAAAAATATTACAAATCCAGCATCTGATTCCCCACTGGAAGCTTCCAATAACCTTTCATTCTCAGCTGGGTGATTTAAATGCCTTTTCTTGCCACAATGACCCTCCTTCTGTTCTGATGTAAGCAGCAATGCCAGTGACCCATCACACCTGCTTCAGAACGAGCACACAAGCTTTCCATGCAACTTCGAATGAACTACAATGACTCAAAAATCATTTCTAATCAATTTCAGCTGTGTTATGGCAAATCTGATAAAATAGTTTTGATTATTCCAGCAAGTAATCAGACATGACAGCTGTAGAATCAATGTGAAGATGACCTCAGATGTTATTTTAGTCTCTTTTTAAAGAGCCAGCTCATTTAAAAAATAGCATTTGGTGAGATTGAATGGAAGCATGCTAAAAGAGATGAATTGCAATTAATGAGCAGTTTTTCTTTTTTATTGATTTCCTGTAATATTGCTAGGCGCCAGCCAGGGTGGTTCAGACAGAAATGGGGTCAGGGTGTCCCCTGGATACCTCCTATGTCAGGTATTTTGGGCTTGTCCTCCGTAAAGGAGGACACTTGGTCCAACCCAGGACACAATCCTGGGAATTATATATGCTAGAAGTGGCATGGGAAAGAATAGTTAGGATATCTTTGTAAGAGGTGCTGTAACAGAGACAAAAACACTGTTGGCTAAGCAGGGTTGGTCTTTCAAAACCTCCCACTGTCTTTATGGGTGACCCCGCAAGGAAAGTTGACCATTGAGCAGGATTGATGGTTTATCTCTTGAGATCCACGTGGCAGAGGTGAGGTGGTGCTCACTCCTCACCCCTGCCACATGGACCCAAGGCCGGGCTTTCACCCATGGAGCCTGGCCGGACACAGCCCGAAGAGGAAATGTGGGTCCCCCTTCCCATGGACTCACCACTCGTGGGAGGGGCCAAAGGGGTCAGGTGCAGTGTGTGACGGGTGGTAGTCGAGGGCGGGGACCTTGGTGGTCTGATCCTCGGCTACAGAAGCTGGCTCTTGGCACATGGAATGTCACCTCTCTGGTGGGGAAGGAGCCTGAGTTGGTATGTGAGGTTGAGAGGTTCCGACTAGATATAGTCGTACTCACCTCAACGCATGGCTCTGGCTCTGGAACCAGTTTCCTTGAGAGGGGTTGGACTTTCTATCACTCTGGAGTTGCTCCCACCGAGAGGCGCCGAGCAGGGGTGGGCATTCTAGTTGCCCCCATCTTAATGCCTGTACGTTGGGGTTTACTCCAGTGAATGAGAGGGTAGCCTCCCTCCGCCTACGTGTGGGGGGACGGGTTCTGATTGTGGTCTGTGCTTGTGCACCAAACTACAGTTCAGGCTACCCACCCTTTTTGGAGACCTTGGAGGGGGTGCTGGAAAGCACTCCTTCCGGTGACTCCCTCGTTCTGCTAGGGGACTTTAACGCTCACATGGGCAACGACTGTGAGACCTGGAGAGGTGTGGTTGGGAGGAACGGCCCCACTGATCTGAATTCGAGCGGTGTATTGTTATTGGACTTCTGTGCCAGTCATGGATTATCCATAATGAACACCATGTTCAGACATAAAGGTGTCCACGTGTGCTCTTGGCACCAGGATACCTTAGGCTGCAGCTCGAAGATCGACTTTGTTGTTGTTTCATCTGATCTGCGGCCACATGTCTTGGACACTCGGGTGAAGAGAGGGGCGGAGCTGTTAACTGACCACTACCTGGTGGTGAGTTGGCTCAGATGGTGGGGGAGGATGCCGGTCAGACCAGACAGGCCCAAATGTATCGCAAGGGTCTGTTGGGAACGTCTGGCAGAGTCTCCTGTCAGAAGGAGCTTCAATTCCCACCTCCGACAGAACTTCCAAAATGTTCCGGGGGAGGCGGGGGACATCGAGTCTGAATGAACCCTGTTCCGTGCCTCCATTGTTGAGGCAGCCAACCAGAGCTGTGGTCGCAGGATCGTCGGTGCCTGTCGTGGTGACAAAAAAGTCATCTAAATAAATGGGCAGGATTTCAAAACACGGCTAATAGAAAACTTGTCTGCAGATGAAGCAAATTAGTTTGTCTCATTACAATTATTTGATCTGACAAAGTTGTGCTAAAACATTCAAGCCTAATTTATAATCAGAAGTGGTTATTTCTTCACGGATCACTGTTGTCATAAATAAGTGAAAGATATGGCATGATAAAAGTCATTCTGTCACAAATAATAGCTGTAAACTCACTATTAAAATCATTTAACAATTAAAAAAATGTGTTTTAACAACTTATAACAATTATGTTGATTTGATGAATAAATGGTAATATTTGCTAGGCTTGTTATGCTGAGCCTTTTTATGACTTCTATTTGCTAACAGATTTAGTAAAAGCTGAGAACAAGCATCACTTCCATTTCTAACACCAAGAATATCAGGTTATGTAACTCCTGCATTAATCACAAGAGCCTGAAGATATTGCTACTGTTTTACAAGAGTCATAAGTTAGTTATTCATTATTTTCTGCTGGTTTCAGTCAGGCTGAAATTCAAGTCTACCAGATGCACTTGCAACGTAATGACTTTTGTGAGGTGTGTGTGTGTGTGTGTGTGTGTGTGTGTGTGTGTGTGTGTGTGTGCTTCTCTGCAACTGTTCACCCCGGCATTTTTGCTTGAGAAGCGGTGCTGTGGTAACTTTCAAGCTGTTCCAGTAAGAATGTTATTTTTCATTTTTCACTTTGAAAGTTGTTTCAGGCATTTACATCGCTGGTTGGAAATCGAATGCTCCACTTTGCTGGGATTGACTGAAAGTCTTTATTATCGGGGTGGGGGGGTGACATTGTGTATATGAGGAGAAAGCGCTGTGCAGGTCTAGACCAATAATAAGATGACCGAGTTTCTATTAATAATGTTTTTGTTATGTGTTGAAGATGGGCTGTGAATTCATCCCAATAGCAAACACATACATCATGTTTAAAATTAGCTCAGAAGTTTCGGCATGACATTTTCCTGATTTAACATCCTCTTAGCCTAGAAACCTAGACAAACTGTAGCAGTAACAGGTTAGTTTAGCCATGCTCCATTGTAGGCGTAGCAGGTCTCCCATTGGCCTGAACAATCTTATGCCCAGCCACTTACAGCGCTCTATGTTTGTCGAGAGACGCTCAACTGATTAGCACCAGAGCTACGACAGAGAAAAACTACTGTTATGGCATTTTCAGATGTTTCTTTGAGATGAGCAAATAGAGGTACTTAAAGATGTGGTTGACTGAAACAAATTAACATTTTTATTATTATTTTTGATTGTTATCAGTCACTCTGAGTTTTTCATGCAGGTTGAACTTGAAAACAGTCTTCTACACCCACCTCCTGCATTAGAATCTGATACAAAAGATATAGTGAAACACTAGGATTTGAAAATCCTCACATATCTATGTCACACTGAGAATTTGCATTAATGGCCTCGCTCATCTGGGCTCGCGCCCACCCACAGGGAGGCAGTTTAAATTTATTTTTTGCAGTGAGGAAAGAGTGGAGAGTGCCTTTTGGTGATAGTGATGTTGCGACAAGGCTATACATGATCTGTTAGCCAATCAGAAGTGAGGTGTGTGCATATCATTAATAATAATGAGCAATTCTGCTGTCGACTGATTTCCATAGGGATGAATATGTCACGTTGCTCTGATGACGTGCAGAGACATTTTGAAAGACATGTGCAGATTCCACCCCACAATCAAGCTCTGTCTATGGGTTGTGGCCAGACTACAGGTGCTGGCCAGTAAATTAGAATATCATCAAAAGGTTGAAAATATTTCAGTAATTCCATTCAAAACGTGAAACTTGTACATTATATTCATGCAATGCACACAGACCAATGTATTTCCGATGTTTATTACGTTTAATTTTGATATTTATAGGTGACAACCAATGAAAACATCAAATCTGGTATCTCAGAAAATTAGAATATTCTAAAGGCCAATGAAAAAATGTTTGTTTCTCTAATGTTGGCCAACTGAAAAGAATGAACATGAAAAGAATGTGCATGTATAGCACTCAATACTTAGTCGGGGCTCCTTTTGCCTCAATAACTGCAGTAATGCGGCGTGGCATGGACTCGATCAGTCTGTGGCACTGCTCAGGTGTTATGAGAGCCCAGGTTGCTCTGATAGTCGTCTTCAGCTCCTCTGCATTGTTGGGTCTAGCGTATTGCATCCTCCGCTTCACAATACCCCATAGATTTTCTATGGGGTTAAGGTCAGGCGAGTTTGCTGGCCAATCAAGGACAGGGATACCATGGTCCTTGAACCAGGTGCTGGTGGTTTTGGCACTGTGTGCAGGTGCCAAGTCCTGTTGAAAGGTGAAGTCTGCATCCCCATAAAGTTGGTCAGCAGCAGGAAGCATGAAGTGCTCTAAAACTTCCTGGTAGACGGCTGCATTGACCCTGGACCTCAGGAAACAGAGTGGGCCAACACCGGCAGATGACATGGCACCCCACACCATCACTGACGGTGGAAACTTTACACTGGACCTCATGCAACGTGGATTCTGTGCTTCTCCGCTCTTCCTCCAGACTCTGGGTCCTTGATTTCCAAAGGAAATGCAGAACTTGCTTTCATCAGAAAACATAACTTTGGACCACTCAGCATCAGTCCAGTCCTTTTTGTCCTTGGCCCAGGCGAGACGCTTCTTGCGCTGTTTCTTGTTCAAGAGTGGCTTGACACACGGAATGCGACACCTGAATCCCATGTCTTTCATGAGTCTCCTCGTGGTGATTCTTGAAGCGCTGACTCCAGCTGCAGTCCACTCTTTGTGGATCTCCCCCACATTTTTGAATGGGTTTGTCGTCACAATTCTCTGCAGGGTGCGGTTATCCCTAGAGCTTGTACACTTTTTTCTACCACATTTT